CAATAACTTGTTAATATGACAACTACAAATGAAACTAAAAAAAAAAAGTGTTTTTCTAAATTTTCTCTCTTTTTTCACATATTGCAAAAAATAAAAAAACCCAATGGTGATTAAATACCACCAAAAGAAATCTATTTGCGTGAAAAAAAATAAAAATTTTGTTTGGGTAAAGCGTAGCATGACTGAGTAATTGTCATTCAAAGTGTGAACACTGAAAGCTGAAAATTGGTCTGGGCAGGAAGGGGGTAAAAGTGCCCTGTATTGAAGTGGTTAAGCGACTTTGAACGTGGCGTGGTTTTCAAAAACTGCTGATCTACTGGGATTTTCATGCACAACCATCTCTGGGATTTACAGAGAATGCTCTGAAAAAAGAGGAAATATCCAGTGAGTGGCAGTTGTGTGAACAAAAATGCCTTGATGTCAGAAGTCAGAGGAGAATGGGCAAACTGGTTTGAGATGATAGAAAGGCAACAGTAGCTCAAATAAGAACTTGTTACAACCAAGGAATGAAGAATACAATCTCTACAATTGCACATGTCCAACTTTCAAGCAGATGGGCTACAGTACCAGAAGACCACACTGGGCACCACTCCTGTCAGCAAAGAACAGGAAACAGAGGCTACAATTCACACAGGCTCAGCAACAGATTGGAACACAACAGAAGATTGGAAAAATGTTGTCTGGTCTGATGAGTCTCGATTTCAGCTATGACTTCCAGATGGTAGGGTCAGAATTTGGTGTAAACAACATGAAAGCATGGATCCATCCCGCCTTCTATCAAAAGTTCAGGCTGCTGGTGGTAGCTTAATGGTGTGGGGAATATTTTCTTTGCACACTTTGGGCCCCTTAGTACCAATTGAGAGTCGTTTAAATGGCACATCCTACCTGAGTATTGTTGCTGACCAGAATAGTTTTCACAATGACTTCAGCGCAATTAAACTCCCAGCTCCAATATGTTCTTGCTGCTGAATTTATATATGTGTTCCCACATATGTAAACAGTAAATAATTTATAAATAAATATGCTATTTATCCCATATTTGCCATCTTCATAATAAAGTGCCTGTGCAATTACCCGTATAACTTCTAATAAAGTGCATATAACATCGCAGTGCATATATAAACAATTTGTGACATAGAAATCCCATATGACAAAGAAAGTCCTTATGACAAATTATATCAGGTCTTCTAAATAAAATTTGCTCAATTCTTGTAGATATTTGTGCACCTTCCTACTATGTGCAAACACCCTTCTGTGTTTCTCCTCCACTGACACACATATGTGCTCTCACCTCCTTGTGTCAGGGAACGAGAAGATTGCCGCGGCGCATGAATCTGCACATGCGTAGGATCCCGACAAAACATACAGGCAGGCGGGCACTAGAACCCAGGCGCGCCTGTCACCAATAACGGCGCCGGGCAGGCACTAGGACCCAGGCGCGCCTGTTGGCACCAGGCGGGCTATTTAAACTGGCCATTGCAATGTCCAGGTTGCCATATGGTCTTGATCCTCTGCTCGTGTTCTGATCCTGTGAGTGTACCTTGTTGCCGAACCCAGCCTGATCCGGATTACTGCTGACTGTCTCCTACCCTGACCCCTGGCTTACTTTCAACCACTCTTCTGCCTGCTCCTGATCGTCTGACCTCCTGTTGCTGAACTTGGCCTGTGACCCAAATAATGTCAAGCTGCATAACCAGAAGTTTGCGAGCGGACCATGTTCATCCCTTTATGACTATGGTGTATCCATCTCATGATGGCTACTTTCTGCAGGATAATGCATCATGTCACAAAGATTAAATCATCTCAAACTGGTTTCTTGAACATAACAATGAGTTCACATTACTCCAATGTTCTCCACAGTCACCAGATCTCAATCCAATAGAGCACCTTTGGGATATAGTGGAATGGGAGAATCACATCATGGATGTCCAGCCAACAAACCTACAGCAGCTGTGTGATGCTATCATGTCAATACGGACCAAAATGTCTGAAGAATGTTTCCAACACCTTGTTGAATCTATGCCATGAAGAATTAAAGTAGTCTGAATGTAAAAGGGGGAGTGATTATATTATACATACACATACACACACACACACACCTCAAAAAAAAAATTAAAGGAACACTTCTAAAACACATCAGATCTCAATGGGGAAAAATATCATGCTGGATATCTATACTGATATGGACTGGGTAATGTGTTAGGAATGTAAGGATGCCCCATCGTTTGATAATTGAAATTTATCAACCTACAGAGGACTGAATTCAAAGACACCCCAACAATTATAGTGAAAAAATTATGCAGCAGGCTAGTCCATTTTGCTGAAATTTCACTGCAGCAACTCAAAATGGTACTCAGTTTGTATGGCCCCCACGTTCTTGTATGCATGCCTAACAACGTCGGGGCATTCTCCTAATGAGAACGACAGATGGTGTCCTGGGATTTCCTCCCAGATCTGGACCAGGACATCACTGAGCTCCTGGACAGTCTGAGGTGCAACCTGGTAGCATCAGATGGACCGAAACATGATATCCCAGAGGTGTTCTATTGGATTAAGGCAGTGTTTCTCAACTCCAGTCCTCATGGACCCCCAACAGGTCATGTTTTCAGGATTTCCCTCAGATGAAACAGCTGTGGTAATTACTAAGGCAGTGAAACTGATCAAATCACCTGTGCAAAATAATGGAAATCCTGAAAACATGACCTGTTGGGGGTCCATGAGGACTGGAGTTGAGAAACACTGGATTAAGGTCAGGCGAGTGTGGGGGCCATTCATTCAATAGTATCAATTCCTTCATGCTCCTGGATACTAATCTATACATATGGAACGGTGCTGATCCAAAAGATGGAATAACTAAAAAATATATTAAAAACTCAATATATAGAAAAAATCCCCTTGTGCAAATTGTTCTACAAGTTTTGTGCAAAAAAACTAATAAAATGAAACAGAGCCTCCTATACACATATAGTCTAATACAATATGATTAATACATGAAATTCTATCTCAACACATTTGAAATATATGAACCAGATTTAACAGATTATAAAGTGATTAGGGCAATCAATAAAATTAATAAAGTGCCAGAAAATGTGTCCATTATATAACTCTGATCATCACAAAGTCCAACATAGCTCTTTGTGACCATCCAATCTCTGCAATTCCTCAATATGAAAGTGTGATTAGTTGTGCAGTTTCCACTAAATCAATGACCCCACCAAAAAAAAAAAAAAAATTGTGCTCCATCCAACAACAGATAAATTGGATGAACTCACCAGAGTGATATGCTGGTGAAATTATAGACCAGCATACGTGCTTGCTGCTCTGAAAATGACAGTCTGCAGCCCGCAGTCCTATCGTCAAAGACTTCTTAAACTGATATACCACTCATGGGAAGGAAAGGAGAGAAGGAGTCTCCATAGTGTAAAACAATTTAAAATGTTTAATAAACCTACAAAAACTATGCACTTACAATATTCCGTGTCTCCACTGACACAAGTGAAACAGGCATAAATCATGAATGCAGTTATCGCTGGCCGTGTAGAAACTACTACCGTGAGACAACAACACTGTGTGTGGTGACGTCACCTCCTGGCCCTGTCCTACGCATTTTGTCACTTGACATCCTCTGGGAGTGGAAGGACATATATCACCTTGCACGCAATATATATAGTGTGTTGGATCATGGTCATGGTAACCGTTCTCCGCATGGTATATACAAAAGGCACGTACAATAAAGTCTTAATACAAAAACTCTTAAGCCCACTAAACGCCTATATAATCTGGGAGTTGAAAATGAGTACTGTATATCACAAATATTATTTATAACCTTCCAAATCACATGTACTCCATATCTACAAATGGCGGCTGATTTAAAGAGTACCATACATCTCTAAAGGAGACCTCTGTCCTTTCACCTAATCCGACAATTATCCTGTAGTCCTCAAAAATTAGTTATAAAACAATTTAAATCCAAATCTATATTTAACCCCTGTGGACATAAAGTTCCTAATTAAAAAATCCAAAAGGTCTCCCCTTTATACACTTCCTTTAACATATCACTCCCCCTTCAACGATTATTTTTTTCAATACCATAAACCCTAAAACTGGGATCATTATTATATTTTATCTTGAAATGTCTAGAGACACTATGTTTCTCAAATCGATTTTTAATATTGTTAATATATTCCCCAATTCTCATTTTTAATTTCCTTGTGGTTCACATTTTCTCTTCCCCTTTTTTACTGTTCTACACTGTTCTTGCATCTGTTACATCTAAAAAAAACCATCTGTATCATAAAACATCTTCAGTTTGTTGGGGGGATCAATTACATTATGCACGATCCTATTCCTAAGAGACCTATTTTTTCTATATTTAAATTTGGGCTGATCAGGAATCACCTTCCTAAGAATAGCATCTTTTTGTAAAATGAGCCAATACGTCTTAATGTTTTCTACCTCTTTGTATTATATGTTAAAGTCAGTGATAAACTCACAACTCGTTTTTGTAATATTCTTCCTTTTCTTTAATTGTTCTCTCCTTATTTTTTAAAACTTTCTCCCTTTCTTTATCCAAAAAGGCTCTTATAGCCCTTCGCTAAAAAACTTGTCTATTAATCTATTAGTCTGTTGGATATAATTGGTTTCTAAATTGTAATTCCTTCTAATCCTGTTGAACTGGCTATTAGGGATATTGTAAATCCACCTGGGATGGTGGCAACTGGTGGTGGAGATATAACTGTTCCTGTCAGTATCTTTAACCAGCTGCCGACCGCAGATAGCCGAATGACGGCTTCACTGCGGCCGGCCAGTTCTGAGTGGACGTCATATGACGTCCTCCCAGAATGCGCTCTCCTGCGCGCCCCAGGGGGCGCGCACCCGGAGATCTCCGTGATCGCTGTGTCCTACGGACACAGCTGATCACGTGATGTGGTAAAAGGCCAATCACAGCGGCCTTTTACCACCTGATCAGCGGTGTCCAATGACACGCTGATCAGAAGGAAATGCAAGTGCCGGTTCTCGGCTGCACTTTCCTCACGCTGTCAGATCGTGAGGAAAGTACTGCCGAGAACCGGCAGTTGTCAGAGCGGGGATCGGCACCGATCATCAGGGCACTGATGATCAGTGCCCTGATGATCGGTGCCCAGCAGTGCCACCCGCAAGTTCCGCCCAGCAGTGCGCCCACCCGTGCCCATCAGTGCACTCACCTGTGCCCAGCAGTGCACCCACCTGTGCCACTCTGCAGTGCCACCTACCTGTGCCACTCTGCAGTGCCACCTACATGTGCCCAGAAGTGCCACCTACATGTGCCCAGCAGTGCCACCCACCTGTGCCCACCCACCTGTGCCCACCAGTGTCACCCACCTGTGCCCACCCACCAGTGCTGCCCACCAGTGCCACCCACCAGTGCAGCCCAGAAGTGCTGCCAGTCAGTGCCACCAGTCAGAGCCCAGGGGTTGTGCCAGTCAGTGCCGCCAGTCAGTGCCCAGCAGTGATGCCAGTCAGTGCCGTCTATCAGTACCCATCATCAGTGTCACCTATCAGTGCCGCCTATCAGTGCTGCATATTAGTGCCGCCTATCCGTGACCCCTAATTAGTGCTATCAGTGCCGCCTATCCGTGCCACCTCATTAGTACTGCCTATCAGTGCCCTTTAGTGCTGCCTATCAGTGCCCATCAGTGCCGCCTATCAGTGCCCATCAGTGCTGCCTCATCAACGCACATCAGTGAAGGAGAAAAAATACCTGTTTGAAAAATTTTATAAAAGAAACAAATAAACTTTTTTTTTTTTTTTTCAAATTTTTTGCACTTTTTTTATTTATAGCGCAAAAAGTAAAGTGCCCAGTGGCGATTAAATACCACCAAAAGAAAGCTCTATTTGTGAGAAAAAAATGATCAAAATTTCATATAGGTACAATGTTGCATGACCGCGCAATTGTCAATCAAAGTGCGGCAGCACTGAAAGCTGAAAATTGGCCTGGTAAGGAAGGGGGTATAAGTGCCTGGTAGGCAAGTGGTTAAAGGAGGTCTTCGTGCATATTTTACCTTTTTTCTTAAATGTATGATCCAGGAAATTTATCTGACTACAACTACTTGTCCCTGTAAACTTCAATCCATATAGGTTGTTATCAATCTCATCTAAAAAAAATCTACCAACTTCTCTTTTGTACTAGGTAAGAGAGGGGAAGGAGAAAGAAAGAATTAGGAACATGTATTTTTAACTTGAGTAGTGTTGTGTTAACTGAAGCAGAATTAAAAGTTTTGGATTCAGGTTTAACATTTATACCACATAAGATAAATACATTTAACACTTCTGTTGTTATTCAGAGGTTTATTAGGAAATAGAATATCAAAAAGCATTTTGAAATAAATAAAGGCGGTAATGGTGAAAAAACAGTGGACAGCGATTTCCAACAGTACTTTTAGGAACGCCTTCACCTTTAACCCAAAAAATAGGCATGATGAATTTTTAGAAGTATTTAAGGCAAAGGTTAAGCATAATTTGAAGAAGTTTCAGAATAAAGAAAATAAAAAAAAATACCCTGATTAAGTAGAACAGGTGTCAAACACAAGCCCCACGGGCCAAATCCGGCCCTCCACGTCATTTCATGTGGCCCTTGCGCCTCTCCTGCAGGTACCCTCTTGTCTCCACCCCTACCTTGTCTCAGCAGTTGGCAGCAGAGAGGAGAATAGAACTCCTCCGCCAAATCCTTCACCTCTTAGTACAGCAGCAGCACCCCTGCCTCCCTTGGTCTCAGCATTCAGCAGACTGGTAACTGACTCCACTCTTCCTCGTATCCTCCTCCAGACCCTGCACTTTCTGCTTTCCAGCTCTGCTCCCAAAGGGTGTGCACGGTGATGTTAGGGAGGGTGTGGCATTCTTGACATCTGATGTAATGGGGGGTAGGGTGCTCTGGACATCTAGTCTTACAGATACAACCGGCCCTTTGAGGGCAACCATAATGCTGACACGGCCCATGATGAAATGGAGTTTGACACCCTTGATGTAGAGCAAGGAATTAGAGATTTGGAGGAAAGAAAAAATAAAGTAATTAGAGCAGCAGAGAAATGGGGGGAATAGTAATTTTGGATAAAGGGGACTATGAGAAAGATGATTAGGCTCCTAGGGGTTAAAGATACATATAATAAATTGGATGGTAATCCCACTAGGAAATTAAAACATCAACTGAAAAAAATTATTTGAAAAAGGTCAGAAGCTAGGTATCCTGACCGAACAAGAAGCAAAATATCTATTACCTAGTGCACCTAGAATACCTAACATATATTACATTCCCAAAATTCATAAGGACATTAAAAAGCCCCCAGGAAGACCCATAGTTAATGGAATCAAGTTTATTTTTTCCAAGGATTGGGGAATATCTTGACTTTTTCCTACAGGAGATAGTCACCAAAATTGAATCTTTTTTGAATGTTAGTGGGGAATTGATCAGGTTTAGAAAGTAGAGATATAAGAGAGGAGAGTATCCTCGTTACTATGGATGTGGAGTAGTTATATACTAGCACTGATCAGATAGACGTGAGAGAAGCAGTAAAATGGGCATTAAAAAATAAGACATCTTTAAAGTTTGCAAAGAGAGAATTCATCAGTGAACTGTTAGTTTTTGTAATAACTTTTTTTGGTATGAGAATTCGTTCTTCCAGTAACTGAAGGGAGTTGCGTTGGGAACGAAGCATGCTCCCAGTGTCGCAAACCTGGCGATGGCTAAATGGGAGGAAGAAAATATTTATCAAATGTGACCAGAGATGGCACTACACAAACGGTACATTGACGATATTTTGATCGTGCGGGAGGGTACAAAAGAGGTTGGTAGAATTTACCAACTGACAGGAACAGTTACATTTCCACTACCAGTTTCCACCATCCCAGGTGGATTTACAATACCCTTAATAGCCAGTTCATCAGGATTAGAAGGAATTACAACTTAGAAACCAATTATATCCAACAGACTAATAGATTAATAGACAGGTTTTTAGAGAGGGACTATAAGAGCCTTTTTGGAGAGAGAAAGGGATAAAGTTTTAAAAAAAAGAGAGAAAAGCATTACCTAAAGAAAAAAAGAGAAGGAATAATATTCCAAAAACAAGTTGTGAGTTTGTCACGAACGTGAACATACAATACAAAGATGGAGAAAACATTATTAAGAAGTATTGGCCCATTTCACAAAAAGATGCTATTCTAAGGAAGGATTCCTGATAAGCCCAAATTTATATATAGGAAAAATAAGTCTCTTAGGAATAAGATCATGCATAATGTCATTGATCCCCCCAACAAGCTGAAGATGTTTTATGATACAGATGGTTTTTTTTTTTTTTTTTTAGATGTAATAGGTGCAAAGTATGTAGAACAGTAAAAAAAAGAAGAGAAAATTAGATAGATTTAGGTCCACCTCTAGCAATAAAGAAGATACCATTAGATCTTGTACTACTTGTGACTCCATCCATGTAGCAAATGTTCTTGAATGTCCCTGCTGTAAGCAATATGTGGGTAGAACTACAAGGAAATTAAAAATGAGAATTAGGGAACATATTAACAATATTAAAAATGGATTAGAGAAACATAGTGTCTCTAGACATTTCAAGATGAAACATAATAAGGATCTCAGTTTGTTAAGGTTTATGGTACTGAAAAAATTTATAATTATTGGAGGGGGGAGTGATATGTCAAAGGAAGTGTCTAAAAGACCAGAGACCTTTTGGATTTTTTAAATTAGGGACTTTATGTCCACAGGGGTTAAATATAGATTTGGCTTAAATTGTTTTATGATGAATTTTTGAGGACTACAGGATAATTGTCAGATTAGGTGAAAGGACGGAAGTCTCCTTTAGAAATGTATGGTACCCTTTAAATCAGCCGCCATTTGTAGATATGGAGTACATGTGATTTGGAAGGTTATAAATAATATTTGTTATGTACAAAACTCATTGTTTATTGTACATGCCTTTGTATATACCATGCGAAAAGCAGTTACCATGACCACAATCCAACACTATAAATATTGCCTGCAAGGTGACGTACATTCTTCCACTCCCAGATGACGTCAAGTGGTGAAACGTGTAGGGCAGGGCCAGGAGGTGACGTCACCACACACGGTGTTGTTGTCTCACGGTAGTAGTTTCTACATGGCCGCCAATAACAGCATTCATGATTTATGCCCGTTTCACTTGTGTCAGTGGAGACACGGAATATTGTAAGTGCATAGTTTTTGTAGTTTTAATAAACATTTTAAATGGTTTTACGTTATGGAGGCTCCTTCTCTCCTTTCCTTCCCATGAGTGTTATATCAATTACAAAGTCTTTGAAGATAGGATTGCGGGCTGCAGACTGTCACTCTCAGAGCAACAAGCGCTTATGCTGTTCTATAATTTCACCAGCATATCGTTCTGGTGAGTTCATCCAATTTATATGGTGGTGGATGGAGCACAATGTTTTTTGGTGGGTCATTGATTTAGTGGAATCTGCACAACTAATCACACTTTAATATTGAGGAATTGCACAGATTGGATGATCACAAAAAGCTATGTTGGACTTTCTGATGATGTTCAGAGTTATTTAATGGACACATTTTCCAGCACTTTATTAATTTTATTGATTGCACCAATCACTTCATAATTTGTTAAGTCTGGTTCATATATTTCAAATGTGTTGAGATAGAATGTCATGTATTAATCATATTGTATTACATATACAGTCATGGCCGAAATTGTTGGCACCCTTGATATTTCTCCAGGAAATCATGTATTTCTCACGAAACGTATTGCATTAACACATGTTTTGCTATACACATGTTTATTCCCTTTGTGTGTATTGGGACAAAACAAAAAAAGGGAGGAAAGAAAGCAAATTCGACATAATGTCACACAAACCTCCAAAAATGGGCTGGACAAAAGTATTGGCACCCTTTCACAACTGCGGGATAAATAAGAATGTTACAAGCATGTGATGCTCCTGTAAACTCACCTGGGGCAAGTAACAGGTGTGGGCAATATAGAAATCACACCTGAAAGCATTTTACTTAACCCTTTTTGTGCCACACTAAGCATGGACAACAGAAAGAGGAGACGAGAACTGTCTGAGGACCTGAGAACCAAAATTGTGGCAAAATATCAACAATCTCAAGGTTACAAGTCCATCTCCAGAGAACTAGATTTGCCTTTGTCCACAGTGCGCAACATTATCAAGAAGTTTGCAACCCATGGCACTGTAGCTAATCTCCCTGGAAAATTGATGAAAGATTGCAACGCAGAATAGTCCGGATGGTGGATAAGCAGCCCCAAACATGTTCCAAAGACATTCAAGCTGTCCTGCAGGCTCAGGGAGCATCAGTGTCAGCGCGAACTATCCGTCGACATTTAA